TGCCTATCAGGCATCACCCTGCCTATCAGGCATCACCCTGCCTATCAGGCATCACCCTGCCTATCAGGCTTCACCCTGTCTATCAGGCATCACCCTGCTCCTGATTTACACAGCTCTGTTATTTTAAGGCAAACCATAATGGGCAGCACTGGTGGTGTGTGGGTTAGTGCCCTGTGCTAATGAGCAGAAGGTCGTTGGTTCAAATTCTGGGGTCGACAGAATGATGTCACTGTTGGGCCCCTAAGCGCAGCCCCCCCCCGCCCCCCTCCTGAGCCTGCTTACTCCACCTTAGGCCACATTGTATAAAAGCTTCAGCTAAATAGATAAACTGGGGCTTCAGCTTCTGGAAACTGAAGAGTCTTATTCATTCTGCCAGAGTAGCTGCTGGATTGACTGCAGAACATAAGCAACAACTGGCAACAAGCACATCTGGTTTATATCCAGCTCCTTTAAAGCAGAGCAGTAAGAATCACGGCCTGTTGTCCCAGGCGATGGCTGTCACGGAAACGCTCCGCCCGAATCCATGGGACCCGCCGCTCTCGTCCAGCGAGCAGATGGCGCAAATGTGGTGCTGCCTGACCTAGGCTTAGTCTCTGGCCTGCAGCGTGGATACGACTGCGAAGCTTCGCTCTGCAAACCCGCCTTATTGCACCGCGTCTGGAAACCCAGCGAGCGTTTGCACACTCGCGCTGTAACAGAGCCGCGGCCATTCGTATCACCCTCCTAACGAAGTGGATGAACACCAAGCAGAGTCTGAACATGAATTTGCCCTTTGCTGAGAAAGAAGCACTTGGCTTTGCTCTGTAACATGGACTGTAGCAGGTCATTTTCATAAAACATCCAATCAAATTCTTGGCATGGGCCCATTTTAACGTCATATGTTTCAATAGCACAAAGACAAAAAGGGAAACGGGTCTAAAAATTAGGCATTTTTCATCTCTGCTGTCCCCTAAACCCTCTAACCAAAGGTAAGAGCTTGGGCTGGTTCCCCTACAATGACTGATGATGAAATGATGCAGGACAGATTCATAACTCAGGCATATTATTTCACATGGAGTGACAGCCAGGGTAGCCAACACACGCTTCCCTCCAAGGTACATCCAAGGGTTTCGTGGTTCCTTATCTACCCAGGAGCGTCCTGCTCTGTTTGGATAAACACAAAGCCCCACGCAGAACGAGATGGGCAGCTTCATGTCATCTATAAGCCGGGGCTGGACTGGTTCATTGGGGCTTCTGAGAATGTCCTACCACAGCTGACGACAAACAGCCGCCTAGGTACCGGAGCGTCATTCATGCTGTGGAAATCCAGCTGTGCCTGGCCGCCCCACCCTGCCCGGGGGGGTCAGGGGCAGCTCCTGTCAATGGGGGAGTGGTGGAGACTGAGATGCCATCACTGGAAGCAGGGAAGGACACGCTTGGATATGTTAAGGAATGCATCAAGCGACTGAAATGGCTCCCATCCACTTTGGGCAATGCTTCTTCCTGTTTTCTACCAGAGTGAGAGCAAAGATACGGGTTCAAGGGTCGACTGAATGACAGATTCTGTTCGCAGGGTCGCTGCTCAGTGCTTTCTGGAAGTTGATCCTGCAGCTGGTGGAGCCTGTCTCAGCGAGATCCTGCACCAGCTGCTTACAGCTCAAACACTTACTATCAAACCAAAAGTGCCACCGTCCATGCACGGCTCCTCGCACGGCTCGGCGCACGGCTCGGCGCACGGCTCCTCGCACAGCTCCGCGCACGGCTCCTCGCAAGGCTCCGCGCACGGCTCCTCGCACGGCTCCGCGCACGGCACTCATTCATAGTTCTTAAATCCTTTCATATAATCTCAGCTGTGGATCTTTCAAAACTTGCGTTACGTTGGACGTAAAAAAGCAACAAATACAGGATGTTTCTGACCAAACATCTACAGCATTACGTGGTATTAGTAGATTTTTATATGTCTTAAATACATTGTCAAATGACATCATGAAGCTGCTTCAAGGTGCTTCTGACAGTCATGAAGGCGACCAGAATAAGAAATGGAAGCCTTACTTAAAATCAAAGTCAATAGGAGCTGATTACAGCATTCAGGCGTTTTGTTTCCAGTGTGCTAATGATATCTCCGTTAGTTAAGGGTTTTACCATAGTACCTGCATGTCAGCAGGAACTGCCATATGAGGGACTCTGCATGGCGCTCCAGCTTCCTGTAAGACTGGGGGGGCATTTAATAATGGTTTTCCTTAGAGGACCAACACACTGCAGATTCCAGCATTTTATTTACCACTGGGTGTGCCGACTTGTGTCAAAATGATTTCACCATAAAGCGATTAGGACCACGAGTGCAAAGCCGCAGATCAGCAGGGAGGTGAGAAGGGGGGGGCCGGCAGACCGGCTTTGGGGGGCCACTTGTTTCTGTCAGCGAGCGTATCTCACTCCACATGACCAGAAAGCAACACCAGACTAGACTGAGGTTTTCATGCTATCATTCATCTAATCAGGCATAAGGTACCATTACACAGAAAGCAGGAGACGCCCCCAACAGGTCTTGAATATAAATGACAGCTCCCGTGCCACCCCCCCCCCCTCAATATAAATGTGAAAGGCGACATTCCCAAAACACAGAGCCCCCCCTAAAAATCTGCCTGATCCTGATCTGGTTTGGTTTCATTATACTATTTAACATTTGCTATTTACATNCCCCCCTCAATATAAATGTGAAAGGCGACATTCCCAAAACACAGAGTCCCCCCTAAAAATCTGCCTGATCCTGATCTGGTTTGGTTTCATTATACTATTTAACATTTGCTATTTACATAAAACTTCATTGAAAATAAAGAATAAAATCACAACTTCTAAACTTGCGCCATTAGCCATTGTGTCTGTTCATTGATGCCAATGGCAGTCTAATACATATATAATTTACATGCCAACTTTGGAGGGAGCTAATGGCTAACGCCTGCAAATTGGTTCATAAATGTATAATAATCTCAACAGATAGTGTATCTGAAACCTTACATCAGATGTACCTATCGTGCAAACACGTAAATTACAAGCAGAATAAACGACTCAGCTTGTGCAGCGGGGAGATTAATGTTTGCTTCAAATATGGACACAAATCACTGCATTAAGCCTTTTATGACGGCAAACGCTTTTATTTCTGCTGCAATGCTTTGACCAAAGTGCACTGGGGCAACATCTTTTAATAACTGAAGAACAAATTCAAGGAGACTAATGTGAATAATAGTCAATTTCTCACTGCAGAAGGCAAACAGAAAGATGCACTGCAGCCTTTGCAGATTCACTGGCCAGGGGTGTGGGAGAGGCACGGATACCCTGGCTGATTCATGGGCCCAGCACTTCATTGGGGCCCCAAAATTTCAAGGGGCTGGTTGGTAGAAAGCCCTCCCCCGAAATGGGGCATTCTGTCAGCGGACCCAGAGTTTCTGGCCTTGTCTCTGTCACTGGCTGTTTAGTTTTCTTAATATTGATCTGTATCTGTATCAGTACAAATCCATGTAAATGTGTATAATAACTGGTAGGGAACAAATAATTTTGACAGGTTAGCACATTAAATCAATGCAGATGGCAAACTGAACCTGTCACACGTCAGCCTGATGCAGACGGATCTCATTTGCGACTGCAAAGTCTAGTTACCCTTTTGGAAATGGTCCATTGAATATACGGCAATAGTTGTCAGATTCTGTTCCATATATGTGATAATCTTGCGTATGTGTGCCCGTGCATCAGGTTCAAATTTGGACTGTATTACGATACCTTGATTGGCGCCCCCTAATGGATGTCACAAGTTAACACTAGAAGGAATAAACACAAATAAGACGGACGTGTCTTAAGATTGTGAGGAGAAAAAACGCCTCAGTATCATATTATGTATGGATTTTCCGGTACTTTCTCAGGTGATCACATCTTTGATACTGAAAAAAATGTAGCAAGTTATTTGATTCGACCAACAACGCTGGCTTCATTTTTTTCTCTTACTGCCTCTCTGTTAGGAAATTCATAACGTTAAATCAATTGACAAATTTCAAATGTATTATTAACTGAAATAAAGATTCGCATGTCGCGAGGTTATATGTGAATAAAATCACTTTGATAAGCAGCTGGCTGCGCCACATATTCACCCGTCTGCACCGGAGCATCTCGATGTAAAACGCTGCACCGCGCGCCTCACGGAGATTCATACCATGTGAGTAATCGCTCTTATAATTTGCGGGGCTATTTCTTTCGTGGTGCACCTGATCACTTACGTGGCACTGCATGAACCCCTACACTCACAGTCTACGTATCTCCATCTGAATTCACTTTTAGTTTACGACCCATCAGATATTTTACATTTTTTCTGTACTATTAGTCAACGGGAACGTTTGCTCCTAAAATGTGTGAATGGATCTGTGTGAAAGGAGCCTGTCGTTGTTCTTTGTATGTATATATATATATATATATATATATATATATATGTACATTTATGAAGTCAAAATCCAATTCGAGGGTGGAATTGGTGCTGTGGACAGGAATAATGTGCATTATGTTTTCAGCGTATGGACGATTTACCATGTCGTAATTGCCTTTGTCAGGCACGTATGGCACACATGGAATGAAGATGCCATCCTTTATTCATGTGCTTGTTGCTTTTCTTTATATTCCTCTTTATATTGGTCTTACCTTCTGCTGTCGCCTCGCCATGTCCGTTGGCTGCTTTGCATTGAAAGGATAAGCGATGCATCTCATCACAAAAACATAAAGCTGTAGCCTTTTCTTCCGTTCTTCTTCCTCTTTCTGGAATTTTTCCACCTCTTCCTTTTCTTTCTCGCTGGCCACCGACGGACTTGGACTGGACGGGCGGGCACTGATGCTCCGGCTGCTGGGCTGTAACCCGCCGGAGCTCTCGCTGGTTCGGCTCGGAGACAGGCGAGACCCGGCCTGGGGTGCCTTCACCTCTTTGCTTTCCTCCTCCACAATCTCATCTGCTTCCTCCTCGCTAGATGATGGATCCAACATTTTGTTTTAGATGGCTAGTCACCCGCTAAGGCAGGAAATACGGAAATCAATGGATTTCACTGATAGACAATAAGGACGATTTCTCTATTGAATAAAAGTTTAAATTTGCATTAATTGCGTTGAGAAACTGAGAAATACAGATAACAAACCGCAAAACAGTCTCAGTTAAATTAATGAAGTAGGAGCCTGCGATTCAACAGGGCAGCAGCACTGAAGCCGAAAGATCGTGCCGAAAAGCTCCGCACAAACAGCGGTCTCCCCCCCTGCAAAATGAGATTGTTGCTGCTTACGTCTGTCCTGTGTTTTAACCCTTCAGGATCCGTCGGTGACCTGGGAGGATGCTACGGGAAGGGGAGGGACATAAGTGAGAAATTTTCAGGTTTCTCCTCGCCTCACTTGCTCCGCTTACTGTGCACTTCGGGGCAGTCGAACCCAAGGCAATATTATACTAAACAGCGTTTGACAGCGATGGGAACTGACCAGGGTACTGAATCCAATTGGTGAAGCTACACTCCCGAATTGGATCTGGGTTTAATCCATTGTTTCATACTATTAATGTCATTTTACTTTATTTTTAGTGTAACCTAAAATTATAGCAGTGTATATCGATATATTTTTATTCATGTTATATATATTTCACGTTAGTTGCCTGTGATTTCCAAGCTCTTTTCCAAGCTATTTTTTTCGCGCAAACCCACAGAATATTCACGCATCCATCTTCCATACCCACGTATCAAATTGCAATGAGCCTAGTCCGCCGACTTTTACCTTATGCGTTAACGCATGTATCTGGTGTAGGCCTATAAATAACCTATTATTTTGTCTACCAACAAACCGCTTATGCAAAAGGGCAAAGTGCCAGCATAGAACATGCTATGCTGGTTCTGCCGATTAATTGCAATTTAGAATCAGGCGACTACAGTTAGTCTACTGCATATTTTGTAATGATCAGAAAAGATCTTTACTATGTTACAATTGTTCATACGTTTTTGAAGCTCCATTGTCACAAAACATACCTCCATAAAGTTTATAAAAGGCAACTACATATTTGTCAGTTGTAACACAATGGCATAGGCCTACTAGAAAAGCCTGTTCTTTTTAGTGACTCATTTGCATTGCATTTCGGAGCCATGCATTTGATTAGCTAAAGTTCTTGAAGAAAGGCTGTATTAATTTAGAAAAGTCCATACATCCATCTTCCATGAACACTTATCCAGTACAGACCTGTATTAAAGCCTGGAGTGTATCCTAGGCAGCACTGGGCATCCACTCACAAACACATGCAGGATATAAACTAAAAGTCTTCCGTTTTGAGACACCAGCTCACCGGAATATATTTTTTGAGCTGCGAGAGCCGCGTGAAGGACCTGGAAGAAACCCATGTAAATGCCAAGGAGATCTTGAACCCACAATCACATAGTATACAACCAGCCGATGCTGCTGGTTTACAACGTAAAATTTCAATTAATTTAGCAAAGTTAAAAACAATGGGTACGGCAAGTGTTCATAGTAAGACGGTCTGCCGAACTTTAGAAACGTGACTGCTCCTTGGATATACTAACCACCGGCAGATGTCACTATAACGCTCGTGAAACTCAGGGATGTCCGTATTTTTTGTTCAATTCAATTCCTGCTCTGTGTGTGTCCTCATTGTGTCTCGCCGGTTTCCTCTGGGTACTCTGGCTTCCTCCCACAGTCCAAATACATGCAGTTAGTATGGGATTGTGTGTGTGAGCGAGCATGTGCCCATGACTTAATGGTATCCCGTACATGGTCTGCATTATATCTCATGCTGCCTGGACCAGACACCCATGCAGCCATGTCCTGCATAAATGGCTGATCGATGGATGCATGGATGTATGATAATATTGTGATGACTGGCAGACCAAGGCATCGCAGCAATGATGGCGAATGACAAGGAGGCTTATTTAGGGGAGAACATTGCCCTTTTAGTGCAGTCTGTAATAGGGCTATAACAGGCACCCAACGAGTACCGAACCAAACACACAGAGTGGAAACACAAGATGGTCAGAGGCCGAACTGTAAGATACAGACATGGAGGGAGATTTATACAAGCTAAGGACACTCGAGGATCAGACAGGGTTCACATAAGACATAGGCAAACATGCACACCACAATCAGGAACACAAGTATTTAAAGTAACAACAACAATACAAGGGCTATTTACAATGACATACACTGGGCTATATACACATGCTCGCGAGGCATGCCGGGAAGGGCTACACTATGTATCTGAGGTTCAAGGTTCAAGGTACTTTATTGTCATCAGCAGCCGTGTACATGTACATAGTGAGATGAGGCAACGTTTCTCCATGGACTGTGATGCAACATACAAGACACAGTACAAAGGAATCCACTCGCAGAGCCTCATTTCAGCAAAACATTGGTTTATTGATCAGCAAAAATAATGTAATGTAATACAGTGTAGCTCAAATTAAGGGCAGTTCTTTACCCCCCTGTATATTCCAAAAAACCCTCCCCAACAAGGTGTTGTGTGTAAGTGTCTTGAGTGAATTTGCATGTAGAGGGTGACCCCCTGAACTGTGAGGATCTTGAGGCAGTGCATCATAATAATAATAAAAAGAAGAAGAAGAGGAAAAACAAAAATGTGTGAATGGTGTGTCCTGCATAGGGGTGGCGCCCCCTCCTGGGTTGCTCCCTGCCTTGCACCCATAGCCTCCGCGATTGACTCCGGCCCCTGCGACCCTGAATAGGATAATTGGTTACAGCATGGGCATCGCCATCGCCGCCATTAAATAAGGGGGGGGTGTCCCCCTCACATTTTATAATTATTCGTTTAATGCCAGTGAGTTCCATCCACATTCAAAATGTTTCTGACGCCCCTGGGTTACCGAAAATGGATGGATATTGTTATCATTAGGCTCTGTTTACATTTGCTTATGTTCTCTTATCTGCTGTTGAATTTTTGCACTTCTCTTGTGAGAACCTAGTCATCGTGTCATCATGGGGTTTTTAACTGGAATAGCTGTCCCCTTTCAGTATTTTGTGAGGCATTGTAGATGTATGAAAACTTTGGCGTGTTACTAGACTGGTTGATATAAGGATGAACAACAAGGCCATGTCTTTAACTGCTACGGTTCCATACAGCACACCTAATAGGATCTAAGATCAAAGCGAGAACTGGTGGCTGAGGAACTCCGGCATGAATGTCAGCAGCTGCGGGAGGGATCGCCGTTTCTCCCGTGGAAATGACGTGACCTGGGCCGCCGGAAGGTTTGTAAAGGCGCATGGGTATGTAGGTTTCTGTAACGTGGAAGCGATTTCAGGGATTTCTTCAAAATCAACAAGTTATAAAACAGACTTGGATTTATGCGTGTGGTGGAGTGCATTTCGAGTAACACGAAACATCAACCGCGGCTTTTTAGAAAACGAAACTCGCTGCTCCTGGAAAATCTCCGCCCATATTCTGACTGTTTCTGGATCAGTTTGACCGCTTATTTTCATAGAGTCGGATTTGTTATCATATGTATATATGATAGTATGCTATCGTAGGTTGCAATAGGACGCTGGTCTATGGCACGCCCTGAATTTAGTACTAGAAATGCGAATGGATGTTGCGGCTGCCCGAAGGTGTTTTAAAGGTTGACAGTCGTAGTCTCCACCCACTGGAGTCACGCTTTTGGCTTAGATGCAAGAAACACGCTGGACTTGGTGCAGGCTACCGTTGAATAGTAAATTTTTGGAAGCATGGCGGCGCAGGACTTTAACATTTTGCTTGCTAGCGATTCGTACAAGGTAAGGCACGGTGACCGAGAGCTTAACTCCACGTTGGGACCATCGAAGGTCCTGGACTGGTTTTGTGGCTGCACTGCTCCAACAAAAGGGAGTTGAGGAATTTTAAGCGGTACTTTCTACTTGAGTGGACGCTATTCATGTCCATTTACACCAGAGAAGTAGATCCCACGATATCGGAGATTATCTTGTCTGTTTTTGTTTGTTTATGGATAGTTTTGAGTTTCGGAAACGTGAGCGGTCGGTGTGGGTTAGTACACAGCTTATGCATGGCAAATGCGCCCATCCTACACTGTTTTTCTGCTAATTTATGGCACGACGCTGGGTCACCTCCGGAAAAGGGCTTATTTCACTTTTGTGGTATTAACCATGTCCTAAAGACCATGTCACTATCCAGCTGGCTGGTCACTGCTCACTGCTAAAGCTCACCAAACAGTCACTGGGCTTCTGTCTAGGGCGACCCACCACTACGGGCTTCCCAATATCCGACCCGAGTCAGAAAGCCAGGCGACTGATTAAAATAAGAGAGTTAATTATAAGGTGCATATAATCACGGATGCGGGCTTGCCAGTGATATGGGAGCGCAGAGTGACCTCCCACGGGTTGTTTAGTAGCTCATTCATGCTTCTCCGAGTCACTTGAAACATTTTTTTTAATATATATAAATTTCTCAGTCTTGTGTGTTTTTTTCAGTAAATATGCAAGGCCCTCTTTTAGGGGGTGTGAGAAAATGTGCAGTTGAAGTAGTACATCGCTCCCATGAGACGGGATTCTTGCACACTGGATGTTTCTTTTGGCACGAAGGACCAAGATGCATTGAGTCATGTTGAAAAGTAACTAGTGTTTAAGTTTTAATTTTGCAAGACTATTTCTCTCTGCACATGAGCAGCACATCTTTTGGTAATTTTTTAAAATTATTATTACAGGCTTAATAACCAACTTGGATAATTTTTAAGAAATGAAAAGTCAGTATCCAATGTGAGAGGTACATGTATCCTTAGTAAGTAATGCTGGTGTTTATGTACTACGGTAAAATACCGTATTTACTCGAATATAATACGACCCACCAACTTTTTGGTAACTTTTTAAGAAACATAATTTTATTTGACAAGAACATAAGTTAACCTGCAACCACAGCTTAAAAAGCAACCGCAGGAAATTAGATTACATTAAGTGTATTAAACAGCAAACTTAATTAGAGGAGGCCATTCGCCCCATCAAGCTCGTTTGGGTAGATAATGAATATTGCAAGCTCCATAATCCTTGAGGGTATAGAATGTTTTGGATGGTGCAGAGCCACATGAAGATGGCAAAACAACGTACTTTTGGAGAAAGGTTGAGCCATATTAATATTAATAAATGATATGGCAGTTCTTTTAAAATGAATGTTACTATCTTTATTAGCAGCCACTGTCAGATTAATACTGTCGGTGGCACAGGCAGGGAAGCCAACAATTTAGATGACACTCTGGGATAAACGCTCAATACAGGCGTCGCCTGGGCTGCCAGGTCTCAGGCATCAGGCGTGAGACTCGCGCTTTCAGACTCTCACGTAGTGTTGTAGTACCCAAGACCGCTATTGAGACCACTTTTTTGTGGTCTATTCTCCGTCTCGACACAGAGGACTCGAGGTTTTATTTCAAGACCATTTCAGACCACTCATAAGAACGTTAAAAATCTCACAAACGAAAAATTGATTATTTTTTTTTTCATCCAGTCCCCGACAACGAGACAACACCACAACGTATTTGAGAGGGAAAAAAAACTCCATCATAAAGGAAATACTTGGAGACCGTCATTCTTGCATACCATGGGGATGTTCTGCTAACTTAACTGCTACAGTACTTGGGTGTTTTTCTCGATTTAAACTAGAGATGGGCCGATCCACACATTTTAAATTCCAATCTTATTCTGATACACAACTGCCGATACCTATACATACTCCGATATTAGTTCTTTCTTTTTAAACTAGTAAATATAGATTTAAAAAATGCATGCCAAAAAATCTTTAATTAGGCAACTACATACTGTTTCACCTCGTTTATATATCTTGTTTTAATCGTTTTTGAGGCATTTTGCAGTTTGAATATCTTGCAAGTGAGGATACGCAAGTGGCAAATGCTTAAAATCACCATCATTTTTCACCTACTGCATGGCAACAGCGTCACTTACACTTTGTTGCGATAGCAGCCGCTTGTGTATCTCAAGCTGTAGTGAGTGTGAAAAGCAGCCCAAGCTTAGCGGCTCCAAATCCATCCATTCCTTTTTCATGTTGTTCGCCTGCTTGTGCACATGCTGCACAACTGCGTGCACGGTTTCCCACCAAGCGCTACTCCCAGCTCTCAAAACTTTGTTTTTACAATGACTGCAAATCGCTGTGCAACTAGTTGTTAACAGTGTAAAATACTTCATGATCATCACCACCTTATCTGATGTTCCTACGCTCCTCCTGCTGCAAAGGGTATGCGCATGACATCACAGCAGGCAGAAGTCGCCACGCTCACACCCACCGAGTACCAAAAATGAGTGGCAGCGTTGGCGTTCAGCTTGAATGCCGCAAAAAGCACATCTAAAATAGGAAAAAAAGCTGCAGTGCAATTGATTGTAGAAATAGATTTAATACGAAACAGGACTTTTCTTTTTAGAGACTGCCAAAAACTAAATAAGTATCGGCGGTGGATCGGTCATTTATGTCTGATACCCAATCCGTGAAACGGGTCTGGGTTGGTGCCAGTACCAATCCGAATATCGTATTTGTGCATCTCTAAACTGGCTTACAAAACACTGAGCACGATAAAGGTTGTTGTTGTTTACCTCTTACAGAGGTCCTGAAGGTGCTTGTTTTGCTTCATGTTTGAAAAACATGTTACTGTGATTCTGCATATCAAACAGCGATTGACAGCACTCTGATCCAATGGCATTGAGCATTGTCAGATTTATAGTCAGTGATTGACAGAGCTCTGATCCAATGGTGTTTGGCGTTAGAATTGATAGTCCTCTAGCCCAGTGGCATTGAGGGGGAGGGGGAGGCCAGTCATACCCTGCTTGTCTGGCTAATCAATACCCACCTCTTTGAGTTGTTGTTTTTCTCAGACTTCGAGGAACACAGGGTTTTAGAGCTGGTCCATCGCTGCAGACGACAACTCGGTCTGTTTAATGGATCTTTTTCTGAGGCATTGTATAGATGACCGTCTGGAACTGCTTAATATTTGAGACAGATTGCCCCAAAAATGAAGCGGCTGCGCTGTGTGTCAGCAAAGGGAGGAAGCAGCAGCTGTAGAAGACCCTTGGGCTTGTGAATACAGTAACTCTAAAAGTATTTTGCAGTATTTTTCAAACTTTACAGGTACATTGTTGGAGTGACAGATGAATGGTTGCCCCAAAATTGAAGCAGTGTGCATAGTGATGGCAAAACGGTAGCTTCCGACCCTTGATAGCATGGTAACTCAAAAATTATTTGTTCGATATTTGCCTAACTTTATTATATGGGTAATGATCTGGACCTGTTCAAATTTTGATGCAAATCGCACTGAAACTGAAGCTTCGCTTAGTAACACCGAAAATAAGGATGTGTTGATTACAGGCTTGTCCTTGTGAACAGCATCACTCTCTTTGTAATTGATGCTCTATTTATTCTATTTGATCTTTGATCTTATTGCCACTTCACAAAAACATTATATTGATGAAAGTCTGCACTTGAAAATGTACAATCGACCAGACAAACTGCACTAACAAAGGGCAGCCAAAGGCCCAAATGGAGCCACAGCGCCAGCTTGTCAGCGGCTCTGTCTGCCTCCTGCCTCCTGCCTCCTGCCTCTCTGGATCTCTTTGCAGACTCCCCAGGAACATTGTACAGGTCAGTGATTCTAAAACTGTGGGGTTTGACATGATTTTCTAAATATCATATACCAAATTTTTATTGGCATACAATATTACCCCCCCCCCCACACTCTGCTAAATTTACTATATGGGAATTTAATAGTGTCACTTCGCCATAGTCCAGACCAGCTCAGTCAGTGTTGACACATAAAAGAACAGATCTAGTGAACCTCATTACATTAAAAGTCACACTAAGTGCTCCAGGGCCTCCGGATAAATGGCTACACCAGCGGTCAGCAACCTTTTTAAAGCAAAGAGCCATTTTTCCTAAATGTCTGACCCACTATTTACAAAGAGCTGCAATGGGCAGAGACGGGGGTTTGAGATACGATTTTTTAAATGTTATATGGGTATATATGCATTTACCGCAAAAAAGTACTTACAAAAAATAAAGAAAACCAATTTCACTCAGACACATAAAAGCGCAAAGGTGACTAATATTACAACACATTTCAGTTCTGTAGCGATAGTCGTCACTATCATCCCTCCTTTCATTCGACCCTGCAGCCGCCAGCCCTTCACTCTCCTCTTCACTACTGCTGTGCTGACGAGCAGCGCAAATGTAGTCACAACTCAGCTGGCTATAATATGTTAATCGGACAAAATATAATATTTTTTACGAAAACATGGAAAGGCGTGGTGACGATTTACTGCAAAAAGTATGTGAAAGAATTAGGAATCCCAATAATCGTTGAAGCGTACATACAGCCTCAGGTACTGAAGAAAACTGAAAGCACACCATTTGACCGGAGACGTAATCTCGTCGTAGAGAATGACTTTGAGGAAGATATGTCTTAACTGTATAATTTACAATGTCTTAACTGTATAATGAAATGAAAAATAATATTAACCCATAAATCATTTATATCTACGAAAGCATTATCATATGTTGACATGAAAATGTGAACACGCTTATCGTTCTGAGAAGAGCCGCAGTCACGTGGTCAAAGAGCCGCATGTGGCCCGCAAGTCGCAGGTTGCCGACCTCAGGGCTAGACTGTGCACTCAGACCACAAGGTTTGCCGATTAGCCAGTGTCACTGGGGTAACTCTCTGATATCGTCGATTACTGATATCGTCATACCGCCCAGTCCGACTCTGTATATATACCATCGCTGTGCCTGTTACAGTTCTTACGGTTATGTCATGGAAAATGTTGGTCATAATGCAGATGAGAAATAAGTGCAATGTAAATATTTAGATGTATAAAGACAAATGACATTTTGAGATGTGGACTTCAAGACATACACAAAGAAATACAGGTGAAAGGTTTGTGCAGACTGGCAGGTAATTCCGACGTGCCATAAATGAATAGGTGTTGTTTCATGTCACAACAAGGGCCCTGAGCATTTGGGTTAACACATTTATTGCCTTGTTTTTCAGGTGGTCTGCCCAGTATTTCTTGAAATAGTAGGGGTGGGGTGTGGGAGGAGTTAGGGTTAGAAGGGCGGAGCAGGGTGACTGGGCTCTATGACAGCCCCCTTTTCTATCTAACTGCTTCATTTGATTAATTAATTAATCAAATGATTTAATTAATTAATTGTGCTGGCAGTGAAATTTAAAGAATGCGTGGGAACGACCCTGAGGAGACCTTTCTTCTATCTGTCCAAAATATCAGCAACTTTTTGGGGAACAGAAGAAATTCTTTTTTTATTGCGTCATTGTTAATTTGCAGATGTTCTAATGTTAAATGATTTATTATTCTTGGACTGCCTAAGACTTTTATACAGCACTAGTGCCAAGATTGTTTAAGTTGTGCCGTGTATTTTCTGCACTTTTTCAGACTGCCAAAGTAGCTAAGTCGCTGTTAGCGTTATGGACCTGCTCTGGCTGCTCCTGCATAGGGAATCACATGGTCAGTGTGGTCAGCGCCTCTCAGGACCTGCTGCCTCCACACTGTGGACTCCTGAGACGAGTGCTAACATGTCTGTGTGGAAGCCGCTCAGCTGTTGGTTAGTGGCATCTATGTAAGCCCTGCAGCTGTGACACCGCCTCTAGTCACATGATGCCCTCTGCCAGTATTTCCTGCTGAAGGGAGAATGAATGGAACCTGTCCTCTCACACATGGCTGGGGGGCGCGGGCTGGGGGGCGCGGGCTGGGGGCTCGGGGGCCTGAGAGAGCAGCAGACCTTCCTGAAGGCTGACTGTTAGGCCTTAGTAGGAACAGGACAAGTTTACAATGCAGCTCATTTCAAACAAAAGCATAAACTGCTTACTTACTGGAGAAATTAGTGAAAATGTTAAAGGGTTGCAAAATATTCTGCTGTAGTATTGTGGGTTAGTGGTGTTTGCATTTCAGGTTGTTGAGGAATCGCAGATGTTATCTTAGTTGGCCATGGCAGTGAACCCCATTGTGCAAAGTATTAACTTATTTGAAATGCAGTTCATTTGCCCTAAATATTGCACCTTGCCCAAACTAAATGGCCGATTTGGTTCTGTTTCAGTTCTGTTCATGGTGTTTATAGCAGATCATAGCCAGACCACAGCAGAATTTTTTGTTTCACTCATTTCTCAATTTATGGGTATGCACCTGCAAATTTTATATATACATATATATATTTTGCAAATGGCAGGCTGGTTCTCATTAATGAAGAACTTCTTCCTTGCTTTATAGGATTTCAGTCCTGCTTCTAGGAGCCTGATACGAACTGTCCTATCAGTGCACCTCACACCTGCACTTAATGTTTCCCATTCCTTTTGAAGGTCACTTGATACCATCTTCCGATTCATGACAAACTGTCAGATAAGTTAATGGTCTCTGGCATTAGAAAGTTGCTTCTGTCCTTTATCTGCCTGGTTTCTGGTTGTTCCCAGTGTCTCCTGCTTCTCCTTATTTTTGTGTCCTGCTGTCTTAGAAATTTTGGACCGTGAAGCATCCTGCTGCTGAGCTAAACCTTCTGCCAGCAGAACTAGGATTAAACCAGGATTTAAAAATGTAGATTTCTTTAAAAATGTCGAGTGGTCTCAATTTTTTCCACTGCTGTATTATAGGGCTGTACGATGTGCAATATTAATACCACAATCTCATGTTGTGCATGTGCAATTCTTACATCACTAGTCAGCTACTGTAGATTAACATCAGGTATTTCTTAATTTCAGTTCCTTAAACGGACATAATAGGGCAGGGAGTTTGGGTTTTGCTGAAACATTTTTACTCTGTCATAGGGGGGGAAAAAAGTTTTGCAATTTTAATTATTATTTCTTTTCAGGATTATCTAGTATGTGTTTAAAAATCAGTTTAAAGTTTATCTCTACTGCTTTTGAATGAGTTCTGCATGTGATCTCCGAGACGACAATCATAATTATCTAAATCCTTGCTGTTTAAATCACCCCTATATGGGTTTGTCAGAAATTTGTTGAGCTCCATTTTTCGTTTTATAAATACCCAAATATTCATTACCATAAAATCACATTGCAATACCGTGCTGTCCAAGTATATTCTAAAAAATACTGAATTTCTTTTTATGCTATCTGCTTCTTCCGACCAGATTAAAAGCTTTTCACTTCATTTGTCCACACACCCATTATTTTATTTGTTTGTTTGTTTGTTTAACCTCATTTATCGTTTTCTTTCGCAACTGTTTTCAAGGCGGTGGCTGTATTGTGTTTCAGCGGCAGGCTATTTGCGTAACCGTCAAACAAAGACCGTTAAACCGTTTCCAGTCCTCCCTGGACGTACCTGAAGCACCAAAAGAGTAGCTAACTGGACCTTTTGGTCCTGGAACTGGAAAAAATCAAAAACATATCAAACAGAAAAAGACATATGGCACCATAAAACAAAAGCAATTCTGATACAGAAATTGATTAAAATAGAAAAATTAAAAAGTAAATATATAAATAGTATATAGTATACTGTATATTTAAGGATTGAAAAATTGTATGTGGGTTTCAGAGTGAAATCTCAAGCCAGGTAAACCGTGTATACACCTGTGGCTGTTTCCCGACTGTGAGTGCAGGGGATTGTGGGTAGCCAACCGTGTATACACCTGTGACTAAGATTTTGTGTTTGTTCTGAGTGGCACATATTGCTTAAACCCAAACTCCGTCTTTCGTAATTTCTCGCGTCGTTCTGCTACGGAAGCTGTATGGTCATATTTCCTGGTTACCGGGAGAGATGGGATCCCCAGCTGACGGTGCTCTTTAGGACTGCGGTCATTTCATGCTTAGTTCTGGGCTGATGGGAGCTGCTTCCCATCATAACTGGGATGTGGCTGTACCACCATCTCATTGTTTTTCCTGCTCAAATTACTTTCACATCTGCTGTAAATTTACCCTTTGACAGTCTCTGCTGTGAATTCAAAATGGATTTTATTATAAATACTTACAATAAAAAGGCTGGCTTAGATGAAGGATATGCTTTCGGATAAGGAGGCTCTTGAGAGAGTCATTACGCTGATATTGCACCTCTCCCTCTCGTCACAAACCCAGCCTTCCCTCTGTTTCAGATAACACACTACAAGCAATACCCCCCTGATATCAGCAAGGTCTACTCGTACTTCGAGTGCCGGAGCCGCAGCGAGGGCCAGTTCAATGAAGTTGTGTTTTTTGGACTGCAATACCTGCTGAAGAAATACTTGGCAGGTAGGCCTGCTTGGACCTAAGGCGTGTGTGCTGGGGCCCGGTCTGGTACGCCTCTTCCGGCCCGGTCTGGTACGCCTCTTCCGGCCCGGTCTGGTACGCCTCTTCCGGCCCGGTCTGGTATGCCTCTTACAGAAGCACCAGGCTAATTTTGTGTCTGTGATCAAAAGTCAGAAATCTGCATGACACCAATTATCATATTTTGCATATTCATAAAAAAGTACAGAACTGTTGATTTTTAATCCGGCAGATTGTTCCACCCTGATGTTCAGAGCTTTTATATTTGTGTGGTTTCCCATGCAGCTGTTACACAGAGAATATTAATAAAATAAATCCATAATCCTTACTACAAATAGGGAAAAAAGTCAGAGCAAACTTTCTTCCCCACTAAAATAAATGCAGGTCCTGCTCTTCCCTCAGGATTTGCTCATTAACCTGACTGTGTATCATTTCCAACAGACCTATATATAGAAAGACACCAGAACTTTCTCTGCTGCATCAAGAGGCCATTTTTTGTCCCTGATGATGTGCCCAATAAGTCCTGTAATGATCCACTGATTTGGCGCCATTGGCCCTGCCCACTTTGATAGCCCCCACACCCCCCCTGGGTTCTGATTCTGTGTATTTTTTTGCTTAGTCCAGCCCGTTTGTGGTTTGTGAGGACCCTGCGTGTGCATGTTGATTTTTTTTAAGATGCGTACAATAAGAGGCCGGTCAGCTACTCTCATGCCAAATGCCGTTAGTCTTGGTGTCACTTGTGGCTTGTTGGCTTGTCCTGATACCATGTAAACAAACATCCCCCCCCCCCCACCCAAAAAACAGGGCCTGTCGTCACAGAAGATAAGATTCAAGAGGCAAAAATCTTTTATCAGCTGCACTTCAGACAGCCAGTCTTTGATGAAGAGGGTTGGAGGAAGATCTTGGAGGTAAACGTCATACGAGGATTTATTACGAATTGCTAGTTAATAAACACACACAAATCATCCTCCTTATTACCAGAAAACAGAAGTACTTGTTTATTGATCATCAGTTTTTTTCCTTTTTTTTTTTTTTTTTTNTTTTTTTTTTTTTTTTTTAAGTAACAGACAGTTTAGGTGAATCTGGTCAGAGGTTTTTCCCAGAGAAGTTACTGAAGGATATCTTGGGTCATTGTCTCCATCAGAAACACGATGGTCGTCTTCCCATCTGCATCAAGGCGATTCCCGAGGGGAAGGTCATTCCACGGGGGAATGTCCTCTTCACTGTTGAAAACACGGACCCGGATTTTTATTGGCTCACAAACTACGTAGAGGTTAATGGTTTCAATGATGCCCTCACAACCTTGCCAGATGTTGATCTTTTAGCTCCTAATGGAAGGTATAGGCATCAGATGGAGAAACTTAAGGTCTCTTTACACAGATTGCTTCTATTGAATTGGTTGACATTGGGGTTTTCAACCTACTGTGTGTAGAGCAATTGTAGGGGGTCCACAGCAATACAGGATGGTCTGTATAGAAGGCGACTGTGAGCTATATGAAAGCTATATGATGCATTGATGTGTGGAGCTACTCTTATGTGGGCTGTCCTGTATATTGTGGATGGACAACATGTCAGAGCTGGAGTTCCAGTTGCGGAGGATGTAGCGGTCTGTTTGATCTCCTGCCACAGACCATGCTGGTGCAGGTGTGGTACCCTATCACCGTGGCCACCATCTCCCGAGAGTTTAAGAAGATCCTGGCAAAGCACCTAAAGGCCACTTCTGGAAGCTTGGAGGGACTGGACTTCAAGATGCATGACTTTGGCTACCGAGGTGTCTCATCACAAGAGGTGAGGAAGACCTGTAAGGCCACAGCGTTGCCCCCACTCTCATTTCAGAGCAGGACCCACTCGTGTGATGGCCTGATGTGCTTCATGTCCACAGGTAATGACTACTGTCAGCTCTGACTAACTGGCCTAACTAATGCATTTTTTGCATAAAATACCATTCTGTCCTGAAATTTCGTATTGCAGGGTGTCCGCGGGGTTTTAAAAAGTATTAAAAGGTAGTAAATCACATAAGCAAAAATTAAAGCCATTAAAAAGTATTAAAAGGTATTACACGTAAATTTACGAGGTATTAAATTTTAGATTTTTTTTTTAACTACAAATTGTCCATTTGTGTTTTAAAGTTTATCTGATAAATTTCTCGCAAATTATTTTAAATGTGGATTAGCTCATTCATAGATGATCTCTGTGATGCTGACGTCATATTCGGTGGTCAAGCGACGTCTTAAACAGTTTGCGCGCTGAAGTACATGTTGGCTGCTTACACTCAAAAGCTAAGTCATAGTCATCATGGGTAAGTGCAAATTTGCACGTAAGTGGTTAGAGGACGCAGCGTTTACGGACTATGGAAATAAATTTAATGACAAAAGTCGTTGATGACAAAAAACACGTTGAATTACACATCGAATAAAAACGCATTGCATTAATTAATGACGCTTTGAATTTTTGGGGACTGTAATTTAATATAAATATGTGCATACATTTAAACATTGAACATTTCAACTGAAAACATTTAAATCGTAATTTCATTGCTTAAATATTCAGT